GTTAGGATATTTTTAAGATGTCAGCTATCTCTCGTGTTGTTTTATGCCGCTCATTTTGAATTAAAGCCATTACGGATTCATCTTCTATGGTTGAAGGTTGTCCTGACCGAGGTACATCTCTCTCCCTGAATTTTGAAAACTATTTCTGGCATGTTTGATCAGTAACTGCATCCTCGCCATATACAGCACATATCTTTTTTTGAGTGTTTGTTGCATTTTTTTCCTTTTCGAAAATAATAGAGCATCAGATGTCAAAAATGCATCTTCTTATCTTCCATTTTAATGTTTTTTCTTTTTCTTAAAAGTTAACAAAATTTTAAAAAATAGCTGTAATTAAACTTACATAATAAATATGCAGGTATTCGTAATGCCAACCTAAACAAGTTAAAACTTGATAAGTACGACAGAGGCGCCACAGATGAGTGATTATGTAAATACCCGAAAGAACTTTTGGTTCAACCCAATACAAATGTGATTAGTAAACAGCAAAAGAAATGTTTAGTTTATTTTGTAAATGGTTGGATATGATAAAAAAGTTTTTAATTATTTTGTTGGGATTTGGATTATAAAAGCAACAGAAAGAAGTGACAGAATAAAATTTTTGTAATAAAAGTTGTTTATTACAAAAAGTTCTCTCTAATGATATCAGTCTTGACCCCTGTTTTGTAAGCAAATTCAATCAGGTCCCATTGGTCCTGTTTCAGCTGGATCTCAATTTGCAATAATGTTATCAATTAATTCTTTATATGAGTTTGAGTATAAAAAAAATTTTCTGAGTTTCTACAATGGACATTTTCCAAGAAAATTGTGGTATGGGTGGTCTGAAGCACACTGCATAACAACTCTTCTATTTCATTATATTTATATATGATCTAACTGAAAAAAATATTGTGTAGCATATTTCAAATAAAAATTTTATTTTATTTTCTATATGTAAACTAATGCTTTCATTGGTTTATTGTATACAATGATTTTCCATTCCAAATTTTTTAATTGTTCTGTCAGTATTATTCAAAATACATTCATTCCCATCATGACAAAAAGTAAATATTTTTGTTATTATTATTATTCAGTAGACAATAAATTTAACAGCTAGTTTATACTGTATTTTAACTTAATCAATAGGCTGGATTACTGACGAGATTTTACATGAATAATAATCAACTACTATGCTATTTCCTTTTCAATAGTTATAATTCCCTCTAAGTTACTGTAATCTGTATTGTCAAAATTGTTTAACTCAATGTGTAGTTTTGGCTAAAGACAAATTTCAAAATGTAACAATATTAAATTCTAAAAAAAATATAAAATTCTTAATTTTTGTAAAATTTATTATGAAAAATAATTCTAAAAATATTGAGCAAAATCAATAACTATTAATTTGTTTGTCAAAATAGTAAAATTGAATTTGAATTCACTTAATAGTTTAATAATTTTTTATGGTGTATTTTATTTAATGGAAACTTTCAATCTACAAACATAATTATTTTTTAATAAGATTATTGTGATATTCATATTATAAAATAATTAACAAGTGATTTTAGCAATGATTTATTTAATTTCACTTTGATCTCAGAAATTGAAATGCACAAGTGGCACAATTGTATCAACTTTAGAAAGTGTTAGGATTATTTAAGTGTTTCTGTTTTTGATAAATTTTTCTCTCTACATGCTTCCTTAAGGAGTACTTTCCTCTGGATGACTTCTAAATCAGTTCAGTAAGAATTCTGCAAGATATTTTTACATTTTCAATGTGCCAAAAATAATTATTTTTATTCTTACGCATTAAATTTAATTTATTACTTTTTGTATAAAGTATTACAAAATTATAATTTAATAATGAAAAGAAATACTAAGAAAGAAATTTATAATATATATATAATACTGTAATTTGAAATAAATTTTTAATTTTATGAAGTTTTACTTTGTTAAAAACAAAAATGAAAATTTTAACTAAGATTAAAATTCCAGATATAA